GATCTTTGAATCATTGACTTGCTAGATTGTTCGACCTTCTTTATGCCCTTGCAATGCCCTATTGCTGCGCAAGATGCGCATCCTGGCTTATTCCCACCCACAAGCCGCTGAGGCACACGAGCATTGGTTAACTCATCATGGCGCAGGTGGCTTCAAGCAAGAAGGTAAAACATGGTCTTCGTTTTCCGGTTACATCTGCAAAAGCCTTGACCAGTAGGGCGAAGCTGGCCTTTTTTCGCAACCGTTTGTGTGAAGCGTTGGATGGCCCAAGGTCAATGCGTTGCTCACTGCGGATTCTGCAGCACAGCAGTTCTGGCTACATGTGCTAACATGTGCTAACTTTCCCCGCGACAAGCGTGCAGAAAACTCCTGCACACCAATGGCGTAAGCAGCGCCACGTAGGGCCCGATAGCAAGCGTGGATGGTGGTGTCAAGTGTTGCACACGTGGTGGTTGCGGCCCAGCATGACCGGCTTTGGTGAGAGAAGGGCAGGTTGAGGCCACAGAATACCTTGGTTGGTGGTCAACGGGCTTTGCGGCAAGATGATGGCCATGTCTTCCCATCCTCAGCGTTTGCTTGCTTGTGCCTTAGCCTCGCGACTAAGTCGGAAGACGAGAAAGAAGCCAAGAACGGAATGACGGACAAGCTTGTCTTGGAGGTGACTCGGCGCTTAGACCCTTGTTGGCCGATGCTTCTTCTTGCTTCGTTTTGCTTCTAGCATCTTGCCGAGTCGCCATGCTCGGGTCTCGGGTAGCTGTACTTGTCCATAGTGAAGTCGGCGAAGTTCCCCTTGAAGTGCAACATCACAGAGAGCCTGCGCTGCCAATTTATGCAAGTTTGGCATCTCTGAGTCGCTACAAAAGACAGCAAAGCAGAGCTCGAAGATGTTGGACTCACCCGCGAAGGCACAGACTGGGTGGGTTCAGGAGTTTCGGGGCCTAGATCAGGATGTAAAATGGAGGGGCCTGGATAGAGTCCCCCTTGCTCCATGTGGCCAAGTGGACCCATGACAGTGGTTTCGGAGGGCCATGCTATGCCATGCTTCATTGGCTCTCATCACATCTAGAAGGATTGCTCGGCGCACCCAGATTGTTGCTAGCACCATCGAATGCCATGCCTTGTTTCCCCTCTAGGTGCCTCGGTCCAGCAACGAGATCAATTTCGTCCGCAGCGCGCAGGACTGGCTGCGCAAGTCGAAGCAGGCAGGGCGTGGGCTCCAACGCTTTCAGTATACGTTCTCTAGCCGTATTTGCAACTGGGTGCGGCGCAGGAAAAGAGGATCGAGGGCTGCGAGGCCGCCAGCTGACGCTCATTCACGTAGGATTTTCTCGTGTCATGAGGATTTTCTCGTGTCATGAGCCATCCGTGGCATGCAAAGGAAACCAAACTAACGTTAGAGTCTGTCACTGTCTGTCACTGTCTGTCACTGTCTGTCACTGTCTGTCACTGTCTGACACTGTCTGTCACTGTCTGTCACTGGTGAAAGTGTGGTTGAAAGTGTGAAAGTGTTTTCTTGGCGTTCGGCATTTGCTCTTCTTCGAGCGTTGGCCAGGAGTCGGTCGGCGACGAGGCAATGGACGGGGACTCTGACTGCACAACAGCTGGCTTGTGCCGGACATTGCTGGCCGCGGCTGAATGCTCCCAGTTTCCCTGCCTCAGGGAAGATCTAAACGAAGAAAGAAGCCGAGACCAACCCACTACATCATATGTGTCGATGCGTCAAGTGCTGAGGGGTGCTTACGATGCGTTTGCTTGAATAACAAGCACCAGGAGTTGTTTGCAACCCCAGCGCTACATGCGACCCTGCAGTTTTCAGCAGTGGTGGTGGTGGTGGTGGTGGTGGTTAGGCAATAGATACTGCAAAGTTGAGTGTTTCTCATGCGAGGTTGTGGTTTCCAACTGTCATACGATGGGAGCACAAGCGTCGGCAGTTCTTGTGAAGACAATATGCCAAATCCAAGCGCGACATGGAAACGCCTGAGAGTGCGAAGCAGCGCCAAGCCCTGTCTGTTGTGGTGCTGACTTTTTTTTGAGGTCTGGGTCCATGATGCTCGATGACTGCTGCTCAACATCTGGTCCCGGCCTGATTTTCCGCCAGCAGAGTTGATAGTTCTGACCTGGAACGAAACAATGGAAGTGTAGTGCCTCGCCCCGGAAGTCTTTTTGCTCCACTATGCATACAGCCCTGACAATCTGGACCTTCGATCGCCTCCCGAAACGGCGCATTCAGCAAACCTCTCTTAGTTCAGCTGGCCGGGAGGCCCACCACATAGGTGGAGCTGTAGTGTGCAGGACAGACCGTGACGCGCCTAGACGCCGTTATGGAACAGCTGCTTGGCTGCCTTGGGGTACACGGGGCTGAGGGGCAGATTAGTAGCAGTTAGTCAGCTTTTCTTGATTTCACAGCCAGCCTGAGCTCAGGTGCCGGAGCTTTATGAGGGAATCGAGCCTGAACAGCGACCTGGCACAACCTAGTCCAGAAGTTTGGCATGACAAAAGTTTGTGGAGTTTGTGGGGAGCTGGTGGGCTCAGGCGAAGACATCTACTCCTTCCTCACGTTCAATGAGGACTACGTCATCCACTTCGCAGGAGAGATGCAGCTGGCTTCAGTCCTTGTGGCGATTCTGGGTTGGTTTGGGGCAAGAGACGTGCTGGTGGAATTCGATTGCCAGGCCTCTCTATGCAGGAGGCCCAGATGCACTTGGGAAGCAGCAAGCCCAAGGCAGGCGCAAGGGCTCACATGCAATACTCATGCAATGAATGCTGCAGGGCTTAGCATTTCAAGCTCTGGGCGGATGTACGTTCCTGTGCATGTCAAGCAGCTAACAAGCTGGCATGTGCCGATACTACTGCACAGGCGGAGAAGCAGACGCTGTACTCACAAGGTGCTTGTGAGAGTCCACCAGATGTCCCTGATTCCGAATCCCGGTTCTGATGAAGGGGTGTTGGCTGATCCAAACTACCCTTTTTTGAACATCGCATTGCCAGACTCGTCGGATCTCGTCGGGGATCGGGGTTGTGATGGGTCGTGAGTGCAGGCCTCGAGGGCGTGAAGCGTGCCATCCGGCAAGAGGGCGAGCAGAAGCCTGCGCTGGCCACCTGACGGCCTTAGTCACTAGTCAGTCACTAATGTAATAATGAGACAGGGCTCGTTCGATGGGGCGGAGTGCGTAGTTGCAAAAAGAAGCCACCAGTGTCTCGGTGAGGTAAGAGTTAAGGTAATGCCCCCTTGGCACAACCTGGACCTAAGCTGCACGAGGTCGTTTTCTTTTCGGACGGTGAGCCTACAGATGATGGCGACTTCATGCAGGCCGCGTACATTCCACAGACTGTGCCGCCCGTTGCTACCTGTGTCGTGCTGTCAGGTCCTGAACAAGCTTCGTTCCAAGTACGAGACAAGTGGGGCTCTTTCTCGGCCTGTCTCGCGACTGCTGTGATGGTTTACACAGGGGACAGGCACACGTGACACACGAGGGGCACCTCTCAACACGTTTGTGCAATTTTGTCTGGTCAGTGCTGGCGTGTTGAGAGTGTGAAGCGTGGCACCTATGCAACAGAAAGCAAGCCCCGGCCGCATCCTGCATCCGGGTTGACAGACGAGGCCCAAATGCCCAAATCGACAATGCTCTCCGGCAAGGGATGATTTCTTGCAGGAGTGCAACCCACTGCCAACTATTTGAGCTCACTGATTCTGGGTTCGTGCCGGGACATCCCCAAGTACCAGGGCCATAGCTTGTTTGTAGCGGCCGCGTCCTGCGACTTTTCTTCTTGGATGCTGGGACATTTTGGAATGCTCGACTGGGAGGACTTCCCAAACCCAGACAGGGTTGCCCAATTTGCTCGGGCAAGCACTTTTCGTATGTCCGCTTGTTCCGCTTGTGATTCTTCTGTGAAGAGTTCGCGTCGCAAAGCAGCTCGCCCGACTTCTGCTGAGGTCCGGGCCTGAAGTTTTATACTGCAGGATGCGGGCAGGCCCCCGGAATGAGAGTTCATGGAGGGTTTTCAGTACCCCCAGATTTTGCCCCAGAAACCTGCAGATGAATGGTGTTTGACTCTGTCGTGGCAGGGCGAGAAGTTCGAGCACTTGCAGCAAATGGCAAGTATCAGCATCTGGCTCAGTGCTGTGCTGCCGATAAGCCCTTCTGATGTCTGTCGTTTGTCAGCACAGCATGGCCGCACAGCCTGTCAAAATTGAATCTTGCGCAAGTGGCCGCTGACTGCAGTTCCTTTCCCGACAGCTTGAAGTCGAGAGTTCCTGAGCAGGTGGTGGTGCCTTCAATAACTGCGGTGTATCGCCCACCCCTCAGTTTCTGCAATCATGTGCTGAGCCGCAAGATGTTGCATCTACAGTGCCCAGCTGAGGACCACGTCCATCAGGAATGCTTTCTCAGTAGCGCCCTTGGCACGCCGCGCGTGCAGCCTGCTGCAGAGCCCGCTATACAGCCTGATGCCTGCTGCCTGAGGCCATCTCGTCGAGTATCAGTCGAAGCCTTAGAATCCTTACAGGGGCCTCCATGCACAGCTGCAGCTGCGATTTCTTCATTTGCCGGCACGGTGCCTGTAGCGCTCGAAGCGGCTGCTGTACTAGCCCCGGAGTCATGCAGCGCTAAGCGGACTTTTCTGATGCCCCCAACGGCCCCAACGGAGCTTAGGCAGGAGCCGTGAGAACGAAAGCAAAGACATGGAGTCCGGTGCTCACAAGATCAACACTTCACTTTTAGGATGATATAGCGCGTGCCTTGGGGGTATCGCCTTTTTTCTGTTGCGTTGTTTGTGGCGTCTTGGCACCAGGGTAGCTGCTGAGCAGGTCATGACAATGACATGTTCTCTTTCAAAAAAGCAAGCAGGTCCAGCTTTCCAAGCGCAGAATTTAGGCCATCATGCAGCAGAGCACAGGCACCATGAAGCCTAGCTGATAACTCAAGCTTAATTGGGGCATTCCGGCATTCCCCCGCTGATAAGAAGTGCCATTTGGCTGCCGCAGAATTGCTGACGGCGTCATGGGGGGCTGCCAATCTCATCAGAGCAGCAGCTGGGATGTTAAAGAGCCTTGCGCACAGGGCCCTCGAAGCCAGAAGACCTTTTCGCAGAGGTTGAATTACGACCGAGTGAAGGGTTCCAAGCAAGCGTTGCTGGGATTATTCGGCTTATCAGGCTACTCAAGTCCGCACTCGAGAAGCAAAAGCGGCCGATTGGTTGGGAGAAACCTCTCAGCATTCGAGCGCTTGAGCTGGAAAGCAACTCCGTACGTTGCCTGACTGATGATTAGCTCCGGTCGTCTCATGATATGTCGACACCTTGAGACTTAAAAGAGGCCTAAGTATGCATCCATGGAACTTTAAGTCCCACTTAGAATCGTGTCGACTGTGCAAACCTCGAGTCCAGGCGACAATCGCGCACTGGTTCCAGGTCCAGGGCCCAGCGACAGCACAAGATCTGGCTGAAGCCCTGAGTCTGGTATCTCAGCTGCAAGCAGCAGCTCCTGAGTACATCAAGCCCTAAACAAAAGCGAAAGCGGGACACTCGCGCAGGTCCATCATCACTTTGCGGCACTTCAGGCGCCGGCTTAGTGGTTTCACATGGCTGCCTTCGCAAGTCTGTCTTCGCACGCCCTCAGTTCATCCCAGTCTCAGTTGTCTTTCACCAGATATCAGGATGGGACCAGATGCCTCAACCCTATTGTGCCTGAAGCTACCGCAAGGCCATCATCCAAGACAAGCGCTTCTTCCTGCGGCCAGATCTCAAGCCAGAGATCGTGATCGATCAGGTTGCGTCGTGTGTGAGTAGAGAACGCACCCTTAACCTCATGCAAGGAACTGGCACAAAATGTGCAACAAGAAGCCGCCCACTTCAACTGAAGCATGGCAGCTAACAGCCTCGCCACCTCTTTAACAGACCCACACCTCTCAAGGGCATTGAAACTTCCACACCGAAGCCCTGAAACCCGTGAATTGGCTACTCCAGGAGGCGGACGTGTCCCCTCAGTCTCTGGCTCTGGAGGGCGCTGCGGAGGCCTCCAAAGGAATCGCCCCAACCTGGCAGGCACTCGGCAAAGGTTTAGAGGGAGTGCCGCAAAAGCACCTCCCGACCCCTCTCCCCTCCGAAAAGGCCCCTTGTGTCGTGTGCCACTTTCCTGCCAGGTGACGGTGACATCTTTTTATAGAGGTACGGGGAGTTGCCCTGAACGAATCTTCACTCATCCTCGAGACATCTCGTTCCTAGGCCCAAACACAAGCAAAGCCATTGCCGAATTGCTGGTCGTGCTACAATGTTTGGAATTTGCATGTTCCCTCTACAGCTGCGGAAATCTCTGCACAGCCGGCATTGTTTAAAACTGCGCAGCGATTGTTTGTCTACCGGCGTTTTCCTGCATGTTCTTGGTATCTTTTCTCTACTTCGCGGGGCGTTTATTCAGGAGACGCTTCCCGCACGATCGATCGCATTCCTTACCTCGTCCCTGCGTCAATCTGCTGTCTCCCGTACTTTTCACCATTTCACAGCGTGCCCCAAATGCAAGCAAGCCTCCCTGACCTCCTGAGCTGCCCTTGAAACTCTGGAGGAATAGGAGTGGGTTGAGAGGAGACTTGGGAGTGCGGGTAGTATGACGTGTTGTGTGAGTGGCTGATAGAGGCAGAGGGCATGTGAATTGGACTCGCAAGATGCTACTGTGCTGGTCAGGAGTGTGAAGGCCGGCTGCTATGGCGAGCCAGGATCCTGCGTGAGGGCTGGTTGATGCTCACCTTTCATCACGCCATCGTGGATGAGAAGAGCATCTGGATGCTGATGCGCGAGTTTGTTTCCATACTGTCTGGTCGCCAGCGCTCGTCCCCGAAGATTGCCTTAGACCTCCGGCTTTCAGAGCTGCTGGATCAACCGTCCTCACGCTTTACGAAGCTTATGGAGCAACGGCAGGGGGGCCGACTTCCAGGGAAGGCGGTGGGGAGATTAGCCGACATGGTGCCACTGGGATCCCCTCGAGGGAAGTTGAAACCGAGAGAAGGGAAGGAGTGGCCGAAGCCGGACGGACTGGCACCTTGGCAGTGTCGAACAACGCGTGCACAGGTGGCCTCTGTTCCCTTGGCGGGGAAGCTGCGGGCCATTTGCCGAGAACGCAAGCTGACGGTCAACACGGCTTTGTTGGCCAGCTTGGCCTTGTCCCTCCGCAAGCAGATGTCACGGCAGGGGAAGGTGGGCATGCGCCCTATCCTAGCTGTTGATGCGCGCATGCATGTTCCTGATGGCCAGGACTTGTTTGGCTCTTACTCACTCGGGGCTCGCTTTCGCAGCGGATGGGGTACCCTTGATGTGGCCGAGAACACGGACTTTTGGGACTTGGCAGTGTGCGCCAAGAAGGCCGTGGAGGATGCGGGGAAGAAGCTGGAGGCCCACAACATCGCCTGGTACATGCGGTTCCTGACTGCCGCCATGGGAAAGAAGGACGTCGCGTGGCTTCAAGGTGCCCTCGACCTTGATGGCCCAGACCAAGGCAGAACCAATGCGTTTCTCATCAGCAACGCAGGAATTCTGCCTGAGCTGGAATCTGGCGATTTCAAGATCTTGCAGTCACACTTCGTCTCGCATCAAGCAGCCTGGGGTCCTTTCGTGTGGTTAAATGTGATGACCCTGGACGACAACATGTTCCTCACCCTCTGCTACGTCGACCCGCTACTAAGCGATGAGAAGGTCGCTTGGCAGAAGATTCATCCACTTAGAGTTGCACACTCGGTTTGCTGAGTCCTTGTCCTAAGTCCCGAGCGGCTGTCCCCGCAGCCTAAGCGAAATGGCCTAAGCTGAGCATGCAGAAATCTGAGCCCTTCGAACCCGTGCATAGCAGCTGTGACGGCTGCTTGCCGAAGGAAACAAAGTACCAAGACATCTCAGGCAGCAGACGTCCTCGCGCTTGTCATCTCAAACCTGGAAGCAGCCTGCACCTCGCTCGACAGGAGCAAGAAAATTCTACAAAATGCATTCGATGATCCAACAGCCCAGCAGGGCTGCGAAAAAGACAAAGAAATCGCTGTGTGAGCTGAATGGCTGCGGTGCGGCAGTCCACCAGACGATCTTCTGAGTGCCATTGAGCAGGTACAGCCAGATATAGACTCAGAGGCATTTAGCGGAAAGTTTTCAAATCTCTGGCTATTGGTCAGTGAGGACCAGGCCAGAGGCACGATTAATTCGGGCTCGGAAGAGTTGAAGCGGCATTCATTCAAAGTCTCTCTAGTATTTGCAGAGCGCCTCAAAGTGACTTGGGTTCGGAGATTTGTCGGTCCTGCAGTCCGCCTTTAGCTCTCGCGGGTCACGAGAACGTCGAGACGTTCCCATCGTAGGTGGCCTAGGTGAGTTTTGGTGCTGGACTCCCCATGCCTCTGGTATCGGGGCGGATCTGGCTTATGGCAGACTTCGCGATCGTGATACGTGAGGTCTCAGGACCGCGCGAGTTTGCGATACTTGTATCACGATTGTCATACAGTGCGTCAGCATCCTCTTTTCCCGGTGTGGAGAATCAACTTCTCTGTCCCTGGAGGCTTAGACTTGAAACGATGGAGAAAATGTACCATTGCCGTGCCCAAACCTACTTATGGAGTACATAAGCTTCGGCCGTAATGCCTGCCACTGCATGTTTGCACAAAACTTGGCATTACGAATTTTGCGTGATCTTCATCCTTCAACGAGCAAACTTCTGGGAGTGCCAGCAGAATGGAGTGCGTCCCGCCTTATGCTGATGCTGCCCCCCAAGTCTCTCCAAGTGCTGTTGGCTCGGCCGAGAAATGAAGGATGGCACTAGGGACCTGCGGCCGGGGAGTTCGACCGGGCATCGTTAAGAGACCCAGAGATTACGCCACAAAAGTGCAGCGTGCACATGGACCAGCGTTTCGCATCCATTGGTCCATCCCCGTATTCTGTTGTATTCTCATGTATCCTGGGCCGACTTGCCCAGGAGCTACAAGCAGTCTGGCCCTGAGTCGCTTGCGTCGCTTGCCCTGCATGCGAGTCTGGCAAACTGGACTGCTCTTCTTGAGGAAAACGAGTTGTCGAGCCTGCACCTCAGCTTCCGGCATCCAGGGTGTCTTCTTGCAAGCCGGAAAGTTGCGCGAACTGAGTACACAAACTCCAGGGTAGGGTCCAGATGGAGTGTAGGCTGCCTGGCCAGTGCAAGGTGATCCTGATCCTATTAATCCACATTAAGCCATCATGTCCGTGCAAGAATGAGCAGTTTCCGAAAGCACTGGGGAACTCGTTTCTGACGAAGGCCAGCACCCTGGAGCAGATTCAGGACAGGGTGTTTTAAGACCCAGAACACTGCCAACTGGCTTACCGCAAGTGACTGCCTTGACCGATTAGCTTCTTCTGAATCGATGTCGCACCGCTAGGAAGATGCCCCGTCGCCTGGGCCTCGGAGGCCGTAGGCATGAATCTGCACCACATTCAGCAAGCTGATGGGCATTAAGGAAGGGCGTTGACCTACGTACCAATGCATGTACCCTAGTGCATTGGGTGGTAAAAGAACATGTGCAATTGCGGGTCCCAACAGCCCAAGCAACACAAAACGTGAATCCCACATAGAGGATACTGTCGATATTTGGCGGGCTTAATCTTCAGTTGGGTCTGGGAGGGCCTCATCCAAGGCTCATGCGGTGGTTTTGTGTGCCTGTGCATGTTCGATCGCTTACACCTTTGTAGCCAGCCCATGCTTGCAAGTTCTACAGAGTGTAAGGACGACAGTTGAAACGAGGAGTTGCCCAGCGGATGCAGCACAATCACTTGTTGTCATGTCTAGTATTCATGATCGTGGTGTCGCTATCTGTTTGTGCCAAGGGGAAGCAGCAAGAATTGCGTCGACAACATCGATTTCGAAGACTCCCGTCCCACAGAGATCTACAAGGACTGGGTTCACATACAGGCGGTATGCGTATGCATTTTATGTGAAGGCGCACACACATCTGTAGGCAGCTGGTGTGCTTGTGCAATGAAGGCGTACGTGCAGCTTCCTTTTTGCAGGACCCAACCGACCTTCGCCTGTGGAGGAAGCTGACGGCGAGCCAGACGGTCTACATCTTCGACGGTGTGCCTTGCCCTCGGCCACGAGTGAGAGTAACAGCAACTCTTCCAAAGTTGTTGGGACGGGGGAGACTCGGCAACACTCCCAGAATCAAGCGAGACTGCTTGCAGATGTTTTTACAAGCATGCAGTAACCGATTCCCAAGTTCCCTGCCTCACCCATGTGCAGCACTGCTCCTCTTATGATATGTTTATGTCTGCAATCGTCCAGGCAGTTCTCCAGAAAAGCTTTTCAAGCTGACGTGGAGTTGCTCTTGAAGAAGCAGCCCTTCACGAAAGGCGATGCGTACCAGCAGAGTAGCAACTGCTGCTGCTGCTGCTGCTGCTGCTGCTGCTGCTGCTCCTGCTCCTGCTGCTGCTGCTGCTGCTGCTGTTGTGGTGATGGTGGTGGTGATGGTGGTGGTGGTGGTGCTGCTGCTGCTGGTCGCTGTCGCTATCATTGGGGCGTTTGTCGTTGTTGCTGTTGCTGCTGTGGCTGTTGCGGCCAGACTTGCTGCAGTGGTTGCACCCGTGAAAGCCCATCATGGTCTGCTTGAGTTCTGCTTGCTTGCCAAGCCGACTGGAGCGAAGCGAATTGTGCTTTTCGGTACTGCTCGTACACAAGTACAGATCATCACTCTACTTTTGCAGGTGGCATGCCTGGGGCCTGGTAGTTTTGCCTGCGTGCAGCAATCACTTGCGGGCGAAGTGGGTTGCTTGGAAAGCTGTAGTTTGTCCTGGTTATCGGCTACTGGGCCGGATGGTTTCCCCAAATGTTCTGCCCAAAAGAGCAGTGCAGGACGGCCACTATCCAGACTTTTGAATGGCTAAGGCGAGTTGTGTACGGGATGGTGGAGAAGCAGGATAGGGCCGAAAGGGTATGGGTGGTTACTTGTGCGCAGCAGGCTTGCTTGCTGAGACTTGCAGCTTGCGTCCTCAAACTCTGTTGCCCGAGCTTGGAGCCTGGGAGGCCTTTCAGCTCCAGCGTGGCTCGAAGTGTCAGCAAGTGCTAGCTGCCAGCCAGCCTGCGATGGAGGCTGGGGAGTCGCCACTTGGAGCACGCTCGTGGCCCAGGACGCAGTCTCAAGAGCGGGTCGTCCTGCCTCCAGAGACTTTTTCTTGGGTATCAACGACTGCTTCCCGATCTTCGGTCCAAACGCCGAATTACCTCCTCTGGCACTGCGCCTTTGGCCACGAGCCTGCGGCATTTGCCGGGAGCCTATTACTGCATATCATTGTTATCTTCCTCGCCACTTGGATCTACAAGGTGTTCTTCCTGCAAGCAAGTTGGAGAAAGGCAATCCTTTTCGGCGTTGTTCCAGATCAGTACTTCTACCTGGTCGAAGACATCGTAAGCACTGTGTCAAAGCACCGGGGCGGGAAGGTCTGTGCTATGGCTTGGACGGGGACACTGCAGCATGCAAGTCTCCCCCTGGCCACGGTTGTGAGCAATCAAGTCTACGGGCTCTTCAGTCCCAGCTTGCCTTTGTTGGAGAACTACGTGGTGGCGGACACCCAGCAGTTTCGAACCACTGTGGCCTGGCCTTATGCGCTGTCATACGCCCCGTCGCTGATGAGCTTGTGTGCGCTTCCATGGATCCCATGGCAGAAGATAGATGCCCCGAGGCGAAAGAGGGGGTGGAACTCCAGCCCAATGGCAGGCAGTCCAGCGTTAGCTCGCCGTGTCTCCAGGGTGTCTGTTAATTCCGGCTAGTCAGCCGCAGACAGCATGCCTGCACTGCGTTGGCAGAGAAGTCTGTGCCTCTCTGTGCAAGCTGAGCGGCATCTGTCGCAGGAGATTTGCTGCTGAAGCCAAGCTACCTGCATTTCTGTACAGAATTGAGCCCGCAATGCGCATGCACAGTCTTGTTCTTCGAGAGGACACGATGCATTCGGAAAACTGCGATCTTGAGTATCCGTGATGTGACCGACAGGTCAAGACTGCTTGTTGTCAGTACGGTTAGAGGTAGCAGCCAGGAGAGGTTTTGAAGTGTCATGCTGCTCACAGAAAGCGTAGGCGTAAGCTAGCTCTGTTGCTAGCTGTTGCAAGTCTTGTCTTGCAAGCGTGATCCATGATGCACATCGGGGTAACGTAGTTTGTCGGCTGGTCAGCGGTCCTCCAGCGGTCTCAGCGGGGTGCGAGCGTACCTTGCTGAAGCAAGCCCTTGCGAACAGAACGCTGCTGAACGCGCTCATCGGCGTGCCGGTGTCTTTTTCCCGTGACCATGCGAAGTTCCGCCAAGCCTCTGAACAAGCCCGAGGAGGCACAACCTCCGAATGCGGAGCAAAAGTTGTCGAAGTCAACCTCTTATGCATCGGGCACGACACTGGCTGCCGAGAGTGATTTCGAGAGCATCAGCATTGCGGACATGTCGCAATCCTCCATGGAGTCCTCTGATGACTCCGACGTGTGGAGCTCTTCAGACGAAGCCAAGCCCGAGCCCATCAGCATTTGGACGTGGCAAACGTGCGGCTTGCCACTCAGTGGCTTCCTACTTGCTTTCCTAAACGCCATTGCGTCTGGGGTTGTCTATGGGTTCTTCCTGGGCTACATGGGATTGGATTCTTATGTCATGTCGTCAGTTGCAGCTCTCATGAAGCTTCCAGAAATATTTCTTCTCCCCTTGGGTATGATCAACGACTGCTTCCCCATCTTCGGCTACAACCGAAAGCCCTATCTGGTAGCTTCCTGGTTCGTCTCTGGCGGCGCGCTCTTGGCCATGAGCCTACGAACTTTGCCGGCGCCCTATTATTGCCAATATCCTGATGGCAGCTATGACTGGTACTCGCCGCCCTGCAATCCAGACATCCACGCAATGAAGAATTGGTACGTCTTCCCTTTGTTTGTTCTCATTGCAGGCGCCCAGATGGGAAGTGTGGCTGGTGAGGGCCTCTTGTTGGAGTACTCCAAAAGAGAGCCGATAGAGCACCGTGGGCAGATCAAGTCAGAAATGACCATGGTCACTACGGCAGGCGCGCTGACTTCTTCCGTTGTCATCGGATTCTTCATGAATAGCAAGGCATACTTGGGCACCTTCGATTGGGGGTTGTCCTTCAGTGGCTTGATGACCGTGTGCCTGGTCATGGTCCTCTGCGTCATCCCAGTCAGCGTGTTGTGCGTGCACGAGCCGAAGAGGACAGCACACCCCACATGCCGTGCTCATGTGAAGTCTTCTTGGAAGCTTGTCGAGGGACTGTGTGCTGACTGTTTGCATGCATGCTCCCTACATGTCCATGCTGCTCGGTATCAAATGCACAGCTAAGGAAGCTTGTCAAGAAGAACGCCCTTTCGAGCATCTTGTTTTTTGCATTCATCGTTCAGTTCCTGGTCGCCACCTCAACCACGGCAACGCCTTTGGTACAGAGCCAGTGGGCGCGTGTCAAGGTCCTCCAGCAGCAGCTGTTTGGCACGGCCGGCATGTTCGTGATGATGGTCGCCACTTGGATCTACAAGGTCTTCTTCCTCCAAGCAAGTTGGAGAAAAGCAATCCTCGTTTCAATCCTGGCATCGGCTCTGTGCGATGCTGTCCCAGCCTTCCTGACGGTCTTCGGCGTTGTTCGAAATCAGTACTTCTACCTTGGCGAAGATGTCGTAAGCTCCGTGCCAAAGGCAGCGCTGGCATTGGTGTCAAACTTGATGATCATCGAGCTGTCGGAACCTGGGCGGGAAGGTCTGTGCTATGGCTTGGTCGGGACACTGCAGCATGCAAGTCTGCCCCTCGCCACGGTTGTGAGCAATCAACTCTACGGGCTCTTCAATCCCAGCTTGTCTTTGCTGGAGAACTACGTGGCGGACACCCAGCAGTTTCGAACGACTGTGGCCTGGTCTTATGCGCTGTCATACGCCACGTCCCTGATGAGCTTGTGTGCGCTTCCACTGATCCCATGGCAAAAGATAGATGCCCAAAGGCGAAAGAAGGAGTGGAACTCCAGCCCAATGGCAGCCAGTCTGGTGTTAGCTGTCCCAGCCATTTGCCTTGTCTACAGTGTGTCTGTGTTGATTCTGGCTAGTCAGCCGCAGACAGCATGCCTGCAATGGGTTGGTGGAGAAGGCTGCGCAAACTGAGTGCACAGCTGAGTGGAATCTGTCGAAGGACCGATTTATCGAAGCAGCACCTGCTTACCAGAGACCCGCGGCCGCTGGTATGCAGATGGAGTTTTGACTTAAGGAGCTTTAAGGAGTTTTATCGTTTCCTGCTCTAGGGTTGTCGCCAGGCATTATGCACCTGCTTAAAGCAGTGAGTGCCATGATGCCGTACTTTGTGATTGTGCTTTATGTCCGCAGTTCGTGATAGTGCAGAAGAGCTGACCGAAAGTTGATGTCGGTAATATCTTCCAGGGAGCTCCCGAGGCTCCCCTCGAACCCCACGGCCCAAACGGCCGGAATCGTCGTAACCTCTGCCTTGGAGATCCTAGGACTCCTATGTCTCGTGATCATGATCTGCATATCGGAATATGTTGTGCGAACGCGTGCGCTTGTTCTTTCTTCCGGTTCAATGGCTGACGGATCTCACTGGCGCGCAGAATTTTGTACAGTAGTTCCTTTACCTAGACCTGCCTAGCATGAACCTGCGGTTTGGCAAGGAAGACGGCGCCACGCAAGGGGAGTTTGCTCGGTTTCCTCTTCGGAGCCCAGTGACTTAGTGAGGACTCACTCTTGCCAGGAGCCCACCTCCAGGCATGTGGCGAAGCGGCTCTTTCGGGACCACATCGGCACCTCCGATGTCCAGGCAACCTCATCTCGGGACTGGGTGAGTTTTTGTTGTGCCATGTGGCCTAAACTGGTTCTGTTCCTGCCAAGGTCAATCTTGAGGGTTTAGTGGGAGTCTGATCAGGAGGTTGACGCTTGAGACTGGCCGGTGTAAGTCGTTTGCATCCCAGGGCAAACTTTCCGACCACTCAATGCCCAATGCATCCAATACCCGGCCCCTGTAAGTCTCCCTTTTTTATGCAGTTCGAGCCAAGACCCGCTGAATCCGGTTGAACGCCGACTGTCTGAATGCCAGGAGCACCACGTATTTGCCAAGCCGTCCCCTTGGACTTTGACATTGGGACATGAGAAGCCGTTTGCCCCAAAGCCGACCCACTGCTGTGCACGTAGGGAAAGCATCCATGCACATCAGGTCCTCTGCAGTGGCAGCCTACTATGCGCAACTGTCTGGCCCTGACTGCACCACCGAGATTAGGGTGGCTTTACGGTGCTGTGCTTTCCCTGAGCATACCTGAGCTGTTTCTTAGCTTCCGCATGCCGGCAAAAGTGAACTCCGAACCATAGGAACATAGGAACACACTAATAGTTCTCTAAGGTTCCAGCTCGAGATGGACCAGAAAGGCTTGCGACCGAAGGCCCGCGTTGCCCAACAACACATGAAAGCCGAGAGTTTTTGACCATAGTCGAGGACAAAGCATGTCTTCAAGCACAGGAAACGGTAGCAGGAGCTATGCAGAGATTTGTCGGGAGGTTCACGGAACAGGTAGGTAACGGGCTTGCGAGTCCCATATGCCAGCTTTGACGAAGTTCCGGTCACAGGCGGGCAAACTAAGTCGAGCTACTTTACGTGCATCTGTATTATTCAAGATGCATTTGTTATTGCAATATCTCCCTAATCAGGAATGTTTACGGTCACGCGCCGGCTGGATGGGTGCGTCCGCAGCTCCGGAGCGGGGGGCGGCAGGTTGGGTGGAACACGGCTCTGGAGCTGGGATGAGCTGGGGGCACGGCGTGTTCGGGTGGGTGATATGGGTGGAACGCGGCTCCGGAGCAGGAGACGAGACCGACGGTTTAACTTTGGCTGGGT